ACACTTGTTGCAAACTAGTCGGGCATAGAATCAATGCTGTTACATGCTTTGTGTGTCGTGTGACTTTCCACTTTTCGTGTATTGGTTTGTCTTTAGATAATTTTAAACTTTGGCATGAATTTCAGCATGAAATTTTCCAGATATCGTGCATGTAATGTTAAGCCACTGTGCAGTCACAAACTGTGAAAAAGCTGCGCGAGCCTACAGGACAGGCGAAACGTTCAATAGGGAGGAGCTCTGTGGGTTCATCTAAACCAGCGGAAATCCAACCACCTCTATGTTCGAACGAGATCGCCTGCCCCCTGGCTGTAGGCTCTGCTGAGCGGTGTCCACTCGTTGCTGGAGCATCAGCGTGCGTGCCTGTGTTGCGTCCTAGGGACACTATTATACCGGCGTGTGATAGCACAGGCTATAAAAGGCAATGGAGTACGCAGCGAAGCGATATGGAGACCACTGCCAGCAATCAGCGGCGTTGTAACCTAAAATTTCTTGCGCCTGAGTCGACGGATGCTAGTGCTCAGGCTCCTTATGACCATCACGTAGATTTTCTTCAGAACCTGATTGATAGCCTTCTCGACGTGAATGAACAGGGGTTGCAGGTGAAGCAACTCATCCGTCTTAGAAAGAGAGAGGAGGGGCAATCCCGGCCTCTGCGAGTCACCTTTGTTGATGCAAGAAGTCTGAGGCTGATATTATCCCGCTTCGGAAGGCTAACAAGTCTAAAGATCCATATTCGTCTCGATTTGGATGCGTCAGACAGAGAAACTTATGTCCGCTTACCGTGGAATCGAAGCGGCGGACTGATAGTAAAGCAATTAATCTCCGCCTCATACATTTTCGGGTGGTTCTTTGGATGCGCCGTACCTGGATCATTTGGTCGATGACGCTTCGTGCGCGTCCTTCGGTTCCTGCCGCGGCCTGCGCGTAGCCTTCACAAATGTTTTAGCTTAATGAAAATACGTGACGATGTACGACACTTCGTTGTCTCTCGTTCTCCAGACCTTCTAGGGCTGGTCGAAACCTGGCTAAATCCTGGAGTCACTGCACAGGAAGTCCAAATCAGTGGCTACTCGTGTTTCCGGTGCGACATACTATCAAACGATTGAGGCGGCGTGCTGTTTCACATTTGCTACTCGCTGTGTGGGAGGCTGGCACACACATACCGCAGCACACAGTTATGGTGTTCGATCCGTCTGAGACAGGGCGAACTGTTTGTGGTTGCGGCGAGGTCCATGGCTGGATTGATTGCCGCGTGTCAGAACTAACATGAGTCAGCCCCGCTTCTTGCTTATGGGCGATTTTAACTCCTCCAATTCGGTGACCTGAGGCTCAACTTCTCCCCGGGCACTGTGAAATCGAGGCACAGTTTGCGGAGACAGTATTTGAAACTGGGACAGCACATGTCTGCCAACCGACGCGCGTTACACCGCCCCATCGTACCTCGACCTACTACTAACGAGTTGCGAGCAACGTACGTATGAAATTCAAGTCCTGGAACTTCTGGCAGCTAGTGACCTTTCGATAGGGCTTGCCAGCGTTAAGCTGTCGCTGCCCTACACGCGTCCGCCTTAGCCGTCCCACAATTATTGGAAGACCGACTTCGATGGACTCAGTCGAGCCGACAGTGAAGTAGACTGGTCACTACCACAGCGTACATCTGTTGAAGCCTGTTGGTTTGTTATAAAAGAGAGTATGCAGTCGTGCGCTCTTTTCGTACCCCTGAAGTACCGGAAAGTTGGACCAGTGAAGCCACATTGGTTCGACAGAGAGTATGGTCAATTGGCTTGACGGCGACACGTATTGTGGAATAACTTCCTCGTGTCTGGCTCTACCGAGGATTATGAGGTGTACAAAAAGCAGCGGAATCTATGCAGTAGCGCAAATTTGCGAATGCGTCGGTAGCTCGAAGAGGAGCTTGAAACCTCAGCTATGACGACCCCTAGGAAGATTTTTGCTCACCTGAACTGGTGTTTGTGGCCCGCAGGTGACGTAGCTGTGTTAGAGGGCACAGACGAACAGCCTCTGACCTCCGGCACTGAACGTGCGTCCGCATTGGCGGAACACTTCACTTCCGTATTTACAAGTGGTCATGCGCCTATGCCGAGCTCGACGTGTGCAGCCGCTACTGAATTCGAGGGTCTGGATTGCAGTGTGGACGTCCGCAGTCTTGACGGAACGAAACCTGCCGGACCCGATGGACTTCCTTCACTAATTTTAAAGTCCTTATCGGCCATCATCTCGCCTGCTGTGGCGGATCTGTCCATCAAATCGCTGTCCAAGGGTGCATTGCTAAACTACTGCAAATGCTCGGTAGTGAAGCCGGTCCCGAAAGGCGGTGATCCACGCAATGTAGACAAGTACCGGCCGATTTGTCTCACCTCTGTTTTGGCATAGGTACTCTGGAAGATGGTGATATAGGGTCTTCGTCAGCTGCTGGAGTCCAGAGATCTAATGCCGGCACAACACGGCTTCACGAATGACCGCTCTTGCATCACCAATCTGCTGTTGACGCTGCAGGAGTGCTTACAAGCGTTAAATCGAGGGAACTCATTGGACGTTAGCTTCATTGATTCCAATACAGCTTTCCTTAAAGTTAACCATAATCTGCTCCACAAGCTGAGGATGTGTTGTGTTGGTGGCGCACTGCACCAGTGGACTTCCTTGTCGAGAGAAGATGGCGTGTTCGGGTTTATGACCACCTAACGGGATGGTACCCGTCCACTAGTGGTGTACCCCAAGGCACAGTACTGGGGCTCTTCTTGTTCCTGATCCACACTAACGAAGTACCTCAGCTTCACCCTGCGCATAGTTAGCAGACGACCTGAAGATTTGGAGGATTATTGATTCTCCAGGCGACTGTGACGTTCTTCAGCAGGACGTTGACGGCCTATCCCGGTGGTCCACAGAAATTGACCTACCGGTCAATCCGACCAAGTTCTCGTTTATGAACTTTCGAAGGGGTTGTAGTGGGCGTGCATACACCCTGGCTGACCACCGGCTGCATCCCACCAGTTCCGTAAAGGATCTAAGCGTACTGTCACGCTATGATCTGAAGTCTATCGGCAACATGAACAGACTGCACGCAGATTACACCTGCTTTCGGCATTTAGATGCAGCTTCTGCACTTTGCTTTAAGAGATTGTCACCCGTCTGTTCTCCTCCACCGTAAGACCGGTACTTGAGTATGGCTCACCCGCCTACTGTCCGATCACAATAGGTGAGGTGTAAAGACTGGAACGGGTCCGATGTGTTGGCATCCCGCTGATCTCCTGCTTACGGAGTACGTCGTACGGCACAGTAGCTGAGGTGTTTCCCACCTCTAGCTGACGTGTATAATGAATAATGAATGACGTCGTACGAGAACCGATATAAGTGGCTAGGGCTTTACACCCTGTCATATCGTCCGCTTCTAGTTTATCTCATTATGACGCACCGGATACTTCACTTGGGCCACTTCCATATGTTAAGGCCGCTGTTTCAAATTCACGCTTTAAGCCGCATACGAGGACACAGGGACAAACTAGTGGTACCAGATTTAAAGTGTATCGCTCACCCTCTACGCTTCGAGCGCCGAGTGGTGAAATATTGGAACAAATTGCCGGATACGCTAGTCGAGGCGTAATCGGTGTCTGAATTGAAGAAATTCCTTGACGCTCACTTTGCGGACTACTGGTATATAGGGCGCGTATTGCGCCCGGATAAGATGCAGTGCAGCTGCAGCATATACTGCCACCGCGCAGGTATCAGCGACATGCTTCCACGCATGTGTTGTCCGATCCACCTACGTTGGATCAACGCTAGTTTTTATCCTCTCACTCTCTACTTTCAGCATTCTGACGCACGATGATGCCACCAATGTTTAGGGTCTCTCCTCAGGCTAGCGCAGAATTTGCCCGAAGGTTTTTGTCAGTCTCATTGTGTTCGCTTCTTAATGGAATGTGCCAGCAAACATCACTAAGTTCCAGAGACCGCGAAGAGACCAAATATTCGTGTTGGCTATTAGACCTACAATATAAGGACTTGCCTGCTATTTGGAAGGTCTGGTGAACATGAGACCATTGATCTTCAGTTGTATCCAGTGACCGTTGACTCCACTCGCGTGTCAGCGTACTTCGTTTCCCATTCAGAACAGCTGGCTGGTGTCAATGCGCTCACAGCATCGTCGTGGGCGTCCTCAAAAACGCATCCGCAGGTCATCAAATATAAGTGCATGCTCGGTTTCAACACGTGCTCCAAATCGATCGACATTTCTGGACCTAGCCTCTCTATCCGTAACTGATCGCAAAGTGCTTCCAAGACTGGTTCGAAGCTGGTGGGCATCAAGTCACTCTCCGGCGGGTGCTGTGTCTGGAGTTAGTGCTCACAAGAAAAAGGTGGGAATCTTCACACAAATGAAGTAACCGCTCGCCGTTATCATTACTGGTGCCTACATCGTCATCATTGGGTTATTTTACGACTTGAGCGTCCAGATCCCCAGCCAGCGCTGCAGTGTCCGTGCTTCTTCTGTGGCGAAGGAGCTCATTCAGTTGACGGCATGCCACTGTTACATGTTTTTTTCATTTGTATTGCAGCACAATAGCTGAGTTGTTTTCCACCTGCAGCTAACGTGTCTGATCACTAGTTGGAAGCAGCAAGTAGAATTGGCTCTGTGTAGCTGCATCTAATGTCACTCAGGAACAAAGACCCGTTGTGTTGTGTTGCGCTCAATATATTTTTCGTCAGCAGTGTTTGTACAGGAACTTCTTAAATTCCGACACCGACTTTGCCTCAACTACGTGCTGCGGCAGGTTGTTCCACACATTCACAGAGTTGGTGAGCGACCCACTTCAAATCCGGTACGACAAGCTTGTCTAATTATGTGTAACGAAGATATTCCTCATCGGTTGGTCAATCGCTGAAAGTGTGTATTATTGTACTTACGGCATCACATCATATTTCCACTACAATATTATTTTTTGTTGCGCTGTATTTTACTATCATATTCTTCTTATTCGTCTCAGATGAGCGACCTCATGAATGCAAATACTGTGAGAAAACCTTTTCTCGGTTGGTTAGGCTCCGAGTCCACGAGATGTCTATTCACTTGAGTGAGTTGAATGTTGAGTGCATCGTTGGTTTGCAACCTTTTTGCATTATTGCTGTCGTAGCGATGAAATGTCTGATTGGAGATCTCGGAAAATGCTTGAAGCCGATGGAATGCACGGTTCTTTCGACAGTGTTCCACCAGTCTGTATTTCAAATGGATATAACGATGGTCTTTTTTAAAATTCTTGGTGGACAGCAGATTTAACAGTTATTTAGAATATACACAACTGCTTACTATAGTAATTTTTCCTCGCATTACTGAGATCGCTTTATTTTCGTTTTCTTAAACGTTTTCTTAAATTTTGTGTACAAGGTATAGATTCTTGTTTTCAACCATAGTTTCTAACTGTTGCCTCTGGGTGCGCAGCATATGGTTGACAGCCATATGCACGCACACCTTTCACGTTTGAAGCAATTCATTCATCAGAAACCTCCGCTTTTACCATTTCTTATCATTCTCAACGGGGCATTTATTTGCCTTCACACACAGAATTGTGTTCTCTTATTAAATGTATACTGAAGCATTTTAGTGGTTCAAATACCATTAAATGACATAAACTAAATGTTTATTGCGGAAAATGGGACATCGTACTTTTATGCAAAGGGAATTTTCTTTTCTCTGCAATTTGAATTTGTGCGCTACAGACTGGTGGAACGCTCCCGTTACTTGGGTATGTTCTCTCAGCCGTCTTCTCTACCTAGCGACGCGTCATCCGCTCCTATATTTCAATTCGGTATTATATAATCGCCGTTATTTACCACCGTGTAGCTTCGCGGCTTTAAAAACCTGATCAAGATGCTATTTCTGTGTGCATACATTTGCACGAATCATTTGGGAGTTTCAGTGCATGCCGGCACGAATTCTCAAGGTGATTCGAAACCTCAAAGCTGGCTTCCAGAGACGACTGTGTGCGGACTGTGAGCACACTCTTAACGTAAGACACATGTGCATAATACTGATAAGAAATTAATGTGACGGACTTAGCTCTCCACGTCCATGTCTCTTCGCCGTCCAGTTAGATGCAGAGTGGCTCGATTTTGAAATGCATTACCTGATCGCAGAGATCATTTGCCAAGCTCTAACACATAGAAATGTGTATGTGGAGTTGGGTCGCTAGTTTTGTCTTTTTTGTTCTATCCATTGTTCGGACCGGTCGATGATGAAAATTGGAGGCAGGTAGATCACTTCCAGTGATAATCATTGAGTTGTCTTTCTGGAGTCAGTAATCGTGGCACGGACAACTGAAGTACTGAAAAATCGACACTCACGTATGTGTTTACGCACCGCACATTGTGTTCAGCGTTACATTACAACACTCAAACTGCACACTCTGGTAACAATCCGACGCAGAAAACGGTTAGAGACATTTATGTCAGTCACCCGATGAATTTATTAACAATGCTCTAATGAGACATTTTGTTTTGTTGGTGGTCTCCATTCTGCTTCTCATCTGCACCATTTCGTGGCACCGTTGCTGCATTATTACTTTTGCCCGCAATCAACCGATGTTTTATTGACTGAAGCTTATCAAACTCAGCAATAACACCTTACTGCTGATTGTGAGCGTCGGGTGATAGCTACTGCACTGGATTGTACTTCTCGCGTTCGAAATTTCTGGGGCCCCACCAATTTCCCTCTGTTTTCATTTGGTCCCAAAGGCTGAATAGCTGTTGCGGGGAGTGTTTGCAGTTTACCAAACATCTACTTTCTCACTCAAACTCAACGTGTGCCAGTTGATGGCTTTGCCTTGCAAAGCCTCGATGGTGTAGGTTCATTTGCGAATGAATCTTCAAGCTGGGGTGTCATTTCTGTTTCTGTTGCAAACAATGGTATGCTACGCCTCGGCATCAACATTGCACGCTTCTTCGGTGTTCCTTTTGGCCTGTCATGCTTTTTCCGTGAAGACCGCTAAATATGCATGTAGTTTTCCATGGCGCATATGTTGGCAATTAAACGAAGATATGCTTTCGGTATCCATTGCACAAGTTATTGAGGATGGCGATCTGAGGTGTCCAGGATTGTCCGCCTTGTGAATTTTAGTTTTTGTACAGCAATAATCGCGAAGAGCTTACTAACTCAAGTGATTGTAGGGTGTGTTCAGTCGTCTAGGCAAGGTATTTGGTGCTCTTCTTGGACATTAAACATCGCCGGACACTCGGACACACTTAGCGTGTCGTGCTATTTTTTCATATCAGTTCAACCGTAACATTTCGATGGCTTCTGTGGCTCCGAAGTGCCGCTGACTGCATGAATTATCGCTTTCCGCTGGCGTCGGCTCACCCACTACATGTGTGAAGGTGGCTGGACGTATGTTTTCCTTGATTCAACCCATCTGCATATCGGAGACTCATGCGAAAACCATCTGCACGTCCGCTGAGCTATTGTTATTGTTTCAGTATGACTTATATCGTTTACGGCGAAGGCTGTCCCGACTCCGTTTTATCTACCTCTCCAGCGGTTTGGACTTTCTACCCTCACGTAGTTTCGTCTTCCGATGTCCATTGGAGTTTAACCAACCGTTTCGTAGCTTTTTACCGCGACCGGTTTTGTGTGTGTTGTTCGCCTGTGTTTGTTAACTCTGACGATCCGGTTGCCTCGTTGATTATTCAAATTGAAGCATGTTGGAATCACCCATCTATCATTTCGGTTGAAGCTGAGAGAGGTGTTGTGTGGGCAGCTGGGGTGATGAGAGCAGTCCTTGGCGCGTACTTAGAGTAGCCATTCGAACTGATCAGATTTGGCCACGTAGACAAACCAGGCAGCCATTGGGATGCCAACCGAATAGTTACCTCTGGGTGCAACTCAGTTGGTTTGTTGACATCGTTTGAATGTAGTCTAATCTGCATATCAATATTATTTATTTAACGGAACGAAGCGAATGTAAAATGCTTGTCCTAATCCACGAGGGTAGTGTCGCTCCTTATGGATGTGACTGGGAATGTTGATTTTTGTGCTAGGTATGATGACTGTTTCACTGATTTGCTTTTCGTCCCAGCAGACCGGTTTCTGCGAATGGAGACAAGATATTATGTCGTTTATTTTGATTCTTAGCCAAGTGTATGCGATTTTGTGATTGCTGCGCGGTAGTGACTATTAGTCTGTCACCGCCACACTACTCGCAAGAGAACAATTTTGCGTCCCTGACGGATCACTTTTTTCATATGACACATTGCACACCCGGGCAATTTTCTCGTAAAAATTATTTTACACAATGTCGGGTAGTCCTCCGTAAATCAAAAAGACTGGGCCGCGATCACGAAGTCGTTTTCTAAGATTACGCATGGATAAATTTAGAGCATATTTTTGCGAGGACGCCAAGTGGTCCCGCAAAAATACGCAATTGCACTGCAAAAACCGATACGCGGGCAGCGCCACGCGGAGTCCATTTTCCTACCCACAACGCAGCAGCCTCCAGCCAATCCAACCCAGTCCACAACCGAGTCAAAGTGAATATGTTCTTTTGTAAACCACACGCCCGATGTGGTGATTCATTTCTCTCACAAAATGAACCGCTATGCCAGCTGTATTCGGCCTTTGTGGGTCGCACAGAAGCTCTCAAATGTCCGCCGCGTCTTCTGTCTTCTCTCTTGTGGGCCGGTTGGGACTCGTGCGTCTTTCTAGTCGGCCGGCTTCGTAAGCGCGTCTAATTTCTCTAGTGCGCATCGTTTATCTGGTTTCGAGGACAGAGTCGTTAGTCGAATACGTGCGTGCTAAAGCGTCACGTGCAACTCCGCGGCTAAGCTAACATGACCAGGGAATAACAGAATTTGATATATATATATATATATATATATATATATATATATATATATATATATATACTATTTGCGTGAATCCGGTCCACTGGCTCATCCTAGTTATTTGCATTATATCGCTGGCTCCATTTCCATTGGTTTACGCATGTTCGCAACATTCTAATGAACATCGATCAGCGTTGCTGGCTTTCCGGGTGGATCTTATGATTGTTCTCGGTTGGTCACTCTTCCATCTCGTTGCACGCTCCCTTGGTCCGATGCCACAGCAGACCTTGATTCTTGTGCGCACAGTGTTTTCATGGGCTGGTAAACCAAGCCACTTCTCACGGGTATCCGCTATTTCGCCAGGCTTAATTGATCCTGTTTTGGACCTCCTGGCGCCTGATTGGTCACCTGCTCATTCAGTGGATTTTTCTTCGGTTGGCTGACTCTCTTCGCAGATCCCGACGTGGGATTGCGCAGTCCACTCGCTGCTCGGCTGGCCAATCCGCTTCTGAAGACATGTTCACTTTGCTTCGGACTAATTGCATCTGTTCGGTACTCCGATACATGCTGCGTAGCGTTCCATTAGCCATCTGTCTACCGATGTCATAGCGTTTCCCCTCACCATCACTTTCCGTCGCCATCACATCCTTTTTCGCATTGTGGAATAACCTTGCAATGCGTTCCCTATTGTCTTTCACTGTGTGTGCGTTTACTATCTTGGGCTTAGATACCTGGACTCATCTCCGGTTGTTTATACCGATCTTCCCTCCACTGGGTCCACTCAGGCTGCACTCTTCTCAATTGCATCCGACTCCGTCGAATGATGTTGTTCCCAACCTTGATTTCATAGCTTCTCTCTGCCTCACGGCCTTTGATTTTTTCCTTCCGTCAACATCCTTCGGATTCCGGTACTGGCTATACTCATACCTCTTCTCCCGTAGCTAGTGGTTGGGAGCTTTTCGATCCGCAATCATAGTAATTTTGTCCTAGCATCCTGTTCCGTAGTCGTTCGGACTGTAGTATTATTGTAGAGATCGAGAGTAGCGTTCTTGTTCGGCGACTGAATAGACGCTGCGCGGGAGGCGCTCTGATATCTGTAGATGGCGTGTTCCTTTGATCCAGTAGTGTTATGTATGGATCCTCTTTGGCTTTTTTTGGCACTTGTAAGTACTTTCTTTGCCTGCCTGACTCAGGCACGGATCTTTCTGACGCAAAACGTGGTCCCTTGTTGTCAAATAACACACTGGCTTTCTGAACACAGTTACCAAACGTCCAAGTAGTTCTCTTGACACCAGCCCGGCTGCACTATATTGGCATTTGGACAGTGCGTTCCGTTTTTGACCCTACACCTTCCGCGAAAAACAGTGTTAATCATAAGAACCTGTGTGTGTGTGTTTACCTGTAAGCTTTTACTTGGCCGCAGCATCCGGTCAGTCCAACGTCTTGGTTGCAAATTCCTTTCTCCTGTCACTGCTGCGCACTCTTCGTATGACACGCCTGGAGTTATATTGTGTACATGGAAGCTGTTCAAGATATGTTCGGGTGGTAGGCATCGGTTATTTGTACTCTTACGCATACTAGGAGGTATCAACTGATTTGCGTGTCTGGTCTAAATTAAATCACTTGATTCGGTAGATCACTTTTCTTATTCTGCTCTGAATCGAGTCTGTTGTCCCTAATGGTCTCCCCGTTACATTATCTCTGACCAAGACCGATGTTTTTTGGGTTCTACTTCCTTGTATTGTAAATCCACATCTGTTTTCTTGCGGAACAGTACTCCTCAGCAGCAGCCACGAATTAACAGTTCACATTTTCCTTCCTATGAGAGCCTCTGCGGGTGACACGTTTGGCACCTGAAGGTCCGGGACCGATTTGTAGTCCCTTCCCCTCATCATTTTCAGTAATATCCGTTTGATCCTATGATCAAAACATTTCGCTTCTGGACTGGATTTCAGGTAGAACGGCGTAAATGTGTAATACCAAACTGCGCGCAGTATTCATCAAGCTAGAAGGTAATTAATTGCGAACCATTGTCTGTGACCAAAGTCTCCGATACTCCATGCTGGCTGAAAAGACCTCTCAGTACTTTGATGGTTGCACCACTGTTTGCATGCTGCTTGCCGAAAATTTGCTGAAAAATTCCACAACAGAGAAGAACTGCTGTTCGTTCACAGGACCAAAAAATCGGCATGTATGCATTCCAAAGTTTTGTCGCTGATGGCTAAGGAGATGGTTCTGTTTTCTTGGGTGACTTATTGACACTCACGCATTTTTTGCATATCTTCACCAACTGTTAGAGTATTGCGTCGATGTTAGGCGAATAAACGAAACTTTGCGCAATCATTCTCGTTCCTCCGATACCAGGACGGCCTCGACGGAACTGTCATAGGATTTTCAGACAGAGTTCAATAAGCATCCGTTAACGACCGATAGTTAATCTTTCCTTAGGAACTAGTTGTCTAAATCACCTCACAAGTTATCTTTGGGCCACCGTGTAGTTTGGTATTTGATCGTCTGTTGCATTATTGCTTCTCGGATTTATGCGGTACGGATCATTTCGAAAGCAATCGGAATCTTCCTAAGACTATCAGCGGTTGGTTTACTTCTGATTCTAACTGCACTGATTGCGTCGTCTCCTGAGGCTTGTTGTCGTTCACTGGATCTATTTCTGTCTTGCGCTTTTTGAATGACGTGGACGAACAGGAATATTGGATGCTTCGTTTGGTACCTACTGTTAGTATGCTATCGCTACCACCGAAGGACTCTTCTCACCCATTATCTGGTATTTCTCTTTTATGTCACGTAATCCTCGAACACTAAACCATTGTATTACACAGCCAATCCTCTAATTTCATGACCGTCATTAAATCTCTATTATATTGGATTTGGATGCACCCATCCTAATAAAGCATTCGCTATTCTTTATCTGTTTTTCCTGTGTTATTCACGTGTAACTGATAACCTTCGGTTCCTTGCTGCAGAGCAACGACCCTATGCGTGTGAGCACTGTGGCAGATCTTTTTCGGATAAAAGCAATTTACAAAGGCACCTCAGAACTGTTCATTCGGGTGAGTATGTATTTATTGATGCGAGTTAATCTTGTTTTGTGTCACTTGCGTTATTCCATCTTCATTTATATCGCGTGCTTTCGGTTTGTTACTCTTACTGCTCAGGAACATTTTTCTTTACAGATTGTTCAGTTCTACAACTCGATACCGCTAAACGTAGCAGGCGAATCTATTCATTTGACTCTTCACGTGATTATATGGTTGGTGACATCCGTTTCCAGTTGTGCCAAACGTTACGCGTCGTGATCCTGTCGATAAAGAGGCAAAGGTCACTGCTGACCTTCTAATGGTCCCGGTTAGAAACTGTGCTATTTCCAATCGATGAAATCGAATAAGGTCGAGACGCGTCGTGTTGTATAGTGTTTTCGAGATGTAATAAAAATTTAGTACTAGGATGTCGAAGTAAGAGACATACTTAAAAATAATCTGGTTGAACTTTTACCATTTAGATGCAGGAAGCCTAATGTAGTAGGATCACTGACTGAGCGACCGCGCCATGTCCGATCAAGTCCCAAACCACTGATGTGGATCATCCGGAGGGCCCATCCACGAGGACGGCACGCAGCTGTCTGACTAGGTTTCTCGTTCAACTGCTTCAAGCCCTAACGCCACATCATCAACTGGACACCGGGTTCGCTGCCAACAGGTTGCGGCGCCAGCGCATTTTGCACACCGAGATAGATTTTCAGTTTGGCGTACGGAGGATACGGTCTGGCCAACGTAAGTAATTCAGTTACAGCAGACACTCCAGCGAGCTATCCGAGAGCTCCTTGACAAAAACCAACCGAATAACCTCAACAATACTCACCTGGCGTTCCCACCAAGTGTGTGCTATATTTCGCGAGCACCGGTGGTCAAATGATGCCAGCCGCTGCATACTTTTTATGTGACGTTGTCTCTGGTCTACGCATAAACACCTGCCTCATCGCAGCGTTTTACACCTTGTCTTTCCCTGACATGCTGATATCACACCGTCTCCTTAAATGCTTGAGTATCTGTAAAGCCACAGGGCTCCGATGTCACGCGAAATAAAATGTCCCGTGATGTATACTCCGATGACACAGTTGCCATGGTACGTGAGCCGGTCCACGACTTCTAGTGGCTGTTCAGTCTACTAGAATCGGTGTCGTATAGGTCTAGTCTTCGGATTTTACTATGCACTTTGAAGCCAAAGGACACATCCACTGCTTTAAATGCAAGGTATTATCCACCTTCTTAAGGTTTGTCATTCAGACACCTAGCCGAAATTCCACTCCGGTGTAGGGATGGATCAGCAGTAGTCTCGTTCATGAGTTTCTAAGTGACTCCAATATTCAACTAGAAGCTTTATCTCGTCGTTAGTGATTAGTTGAGGATTCGTGGCATTTGGAAACATCCACCACACATGGTATCTTGATTCAACTGTACGGAATAATTATGTATGGAAAAGTAGTAGGGTTAGTTGAATGGTATTGGTAAGAAATTCGTCATATATAGACTCAGTCAGAAAACCATCACCCCCCTGGAAAAACGTCATACGGCTGTTTCCTCCTTTCGGGGATCGTCAGCAGTGCGCATTCCGTCTGACCCTTTTTCTGCTCAAACCCACAGCTAGACTGTTGCGATTCTGTGGTTTAAACCTTTGCGATACGGAGGACGGTACTGACTGTCCTGTGTCGTGGGTTTGTTCCATCAGGTATACCAAATTCGCCTGAAAGCCGTAGGCGTGAACAGTGGAAGAAGCCGCGGTAGACGCAGTGACTTCCTTGATCAGCCTTATATTGACAAGCCCCCATCACATTTTGCTCGCTATCTTTTGAAACTTAGTCACTATGTCAGTGTGACGTGCTCCAACTGACGTTAGTCGCACAATCTAGCGGCTTTGAATGTGCCGGATTTTCTCCCTCTGAGTTTGTTTGGAGCGCTTTCCACTTGGAGCAGTTCTAGCCAGAACTCTCTCCTAATTGAAATCCCACATGATTATCTATCAAGTCATGCCCATTGCACGATATAACTCATGTTCGTCGAGAGATGACTTAATGCGCACATACACCGTACTCATCATCAGAATTACGTTTGTGCTTGTGTGTTGGCTATAGTGGATCTATGGATACGCGATGCATGTTGATAGCAACGATTATTTTTGGAATTAGGATCTCCATCCCAACCACCCACGGCTCTTGTCACACTGCAGCTTTTTCAACCTCTTTCTCCCTTGTTCTACTCGGCTTTCGGACACTATGCAATACTAGCACACAATCGTGCATCCATGACATCTTCGAACTTGTGCGAAGAGTGAAGCAAATTCGTGCCTGCGGTTCACATAAAGTTGGGATTAATCTAAGTATCGTCGTAACATTACACGCAAATACCTTAAAGGCACAACCTCACAGGATTTCCCTTTAAATCTTGTTGATGCAGCGTTTACTTTCATCTTAATCTAAGAACAAATTGTGATCTTTTGCGAAAATGGCAGCTTCAGTGAATATTTTATTTGTATTCTACGGATATCACTTAAAGTAATAAAATGCTTTTGGGATCCATCGTTGAGGTGGTTCAACTCGAACCTCCGATTTGAACTGCTCTTCGATCAGTTGCTTAAGCGAGATTGCGATCGGTGCAAGAGGATCTGCTCATAAAGCCGATTTTCAATGAATGTGAGGACGGATGCCCGGGAGTTTGTTTGGGGCGAGCGAATGTACTCGTAAGCCACAAATAGAGTCGTAGCTTCCTTAGGAATGGTCCAGTAGGATTAATTCCGGGATCACCGGATTGCGCGGAGAACCTTTTATCGAATGCACTTTCGAAACTATGAAAGTTGTTAGAAAACAAAGGTGCGCGCGTGAATATGAACACGACACATGCTAAACCTGCTTCGTTTGCATAAGTCATGATCCATAAAAAATGGTTCCGTGAAACGTTGAGCACTGAACACAGGAAGTTAATCTGATTCGTATGAATAGTGACTGCATTGGGTGACGATGGAACTTGGTAAGCCGTTGGCCGATAAGAGCATGATAACTATGCGGCTATTTGTTTGCGATCAACGTGGCTAGCCGTAGTCTGCACCGCACCATGTTCGTCAGTCTAGTCAAGACTAGAGAACATCTTCATTAACTAGCTTTACGGGGCCTACTTTCTCGTGTTTACATATTTGACACTATCGAACGATCACTATTTCTTGGGCTGAAATTCTAATCACTATTCTTGCGCCTGTGCCGTTAGACTGCGTAGTCACTTGAAGCTAGCATGTTCTGATTCCCGTCGTGACTCCCGAGTCTCGTATGATCACTGTCGACCTTCATTCACACCTCGATCATCGACTTGGTCTGCATTTACATACTGCATATCGATGAACTCAGCGGACTAGCATGGACCTTTCCATTTGTGCAAATGATGCAGACACTTTGATGAAGGTTAGACGTGTCCTCACTTGTGTAACGACCCCTAGAGCGTACCGATTCCCATCGCTGATTCAATGTACTGGAGGTAACCTACGTACCGCATACTAGCAGTGCATATTTCTAATAGGCCCGTAGAAGTGCACCCACACAAGTTTGATGATCGACAGGCGGACCTTACGGTTCCATTCAGATCCGGGTGTCGATAGCAGCGGACTATTCCGAAGACACTGTTATGAGATGTATGCCAGTCTTGATTAGTGCAATCAGCACTTACCGCATCTATCCCTACTTTTTGGCTTGCTTGCTGGCAGTGATACAGACACCGTAAGTACCTTGAGTTACTAAGGCACTGTCGACAGAGTTGCAAAGCGCGCAATCGTTGTCGTTAGATTCGGGATCAGAGCATAGTGGATTCGTTACGAGGCCGCCATCTTGTAAAAGTATTTTGACTGTTCAACACACATCAAATCCTAGGAAGTGAAGGGTGCGCAATGTCTTTTGACCCAGCTTATGCACCATACAGATGTTGTACGAACAAGCGGAAAATAAGCCAATTGCTTTGAATGCATCGGTAGCACTAGTTTCGAAGTCATCAGCAAACTGTTGCTGTATAGCGAGAGGAGGGAGAAATTGCAAGAGTGTGAACACACAGAAGAACAAGCATTGACCACTGGGTGTAGAGGGCGAATGACTGCCCGACTTCCCATTCCGAGAAAAATGCTCTCCCTTTGACCTGCTAAATCGTGATGTTTAGGGTCGGAGAATGTTCTTTCGACGTAGGTATAGGTGGAAATGTTATGATACCGTTGTGTGGCTGAAAGGATTCACGAAGCACAAGTAACAGAATTACTTGGGAGGCCTTGGGCAACATGTGTTCCTTATACACCAAAGCTGTTTTAGCACACGGCACCACTTTGGTGCGAACCTTAACAATATGCGCTTTCAACGCAATTCCATAATAGCTGCTCTCCGTTCGTTCAGGAAGGCAACAACTGTTGCTTCTGGTGACACGTATACACGGTAATGGCGCCCCAGTACACTGCGTTTTGTATAACAAATTGAGCAGTGGGCGGAGGAGTAGGTTGCACGCACCATTCCTACCCATTTTTATGTCCCAACAGTGTGAGTCTCCAAGGCTACGGTGGTTTGCAGCGTCAGATGTGACAACCATGATCCACACTCACGTAGATGTTCAAACGGTGTAGTTTCACCGACTATACCACTTGCAGTGTCAAACTCATAAGCAGTACTCTCGTAAGTGTCCATACAGCTCGAAGGGGTAGATACGATGCCAGATGTTAATAGATGATCAGGGAAACAGGTACGGTGGTGAATCTGTTTATTAGCGTGCTTGCCGGCTTGATGACCGTGATCATAGGACGAGGTTGACACTTGAGGTATGGAATCATAGTTGAGATCGAGGACACACACACACAGAGTTGCGTTGAAAGACCCACACGGAATTTCGTCATAATTTTAATTTACACGGAGCACAGTGTTCGTGGGAATTAAGTGATTCCGATGCTTGTGGCGGCACTGAAAGCACTCGAAGTGGGGTGGGGATGACAAATTGGAAGACGCGTTGTGTGTACTCAGTCCGAAATGGAAGTATTAGTTCATCACGGAGAGAGATGTATTTGGCGTGGTCAATCGCTGGTGGTGTGAACAACGTCACTGACCAGACGCGAGTTACATCTTTCACTGACTAGCAATGTGGTCCATCGCAGTGTCTTTCATCATTGTGATCCCTAAAGATTACTAGTTTTCCAATGCACAAAGCACATTGCTCGGTACATACTGCTGGAATGAAGCACTTATTGATTGTAGGCGACACGCACTTCACCTATTACCCATCCGTTTCCAGTTTTGTATTGCGGCGCATTAGCGGAAGCGTGTTGTTCACTCTCAGCTAACGTGTAAGGGTGTATGGTATCTTTCCAGTTCCAAGATGGCCGCCCGCCGCCAACTTTTAGTTTTCATGGCAAACTCGATACTATGTCTACACTGTTACGTATGTGTTCCTATTCTAGCCAATCATCCATTCGGTAGCTGTGTAATTTGATCGCCTGCGTTTACGTCACCTGGCTTCGGTTTGATCTTCTCACTTCCTAGAATCACGTACTTCTGCGGGTTTTTCAATTTTCAAGTCCACCACTGCATTGGCTTTAGGAGCATACGCCGAACGCACCTCGCAACCGAGAACACACTATACTTATTGTTATAATAATTATTATTACAGCTTCGTAACAAACATTTATCTCATGGTTACTTGCTCTTCTATTCTAGATGTTGGACACTCAGCTTCGAATGGTAACACGGTTGCAGAAGTAGCATTGGAGCAGGAGAGCAAGGTACAAGTCCCTTCATAATGTGGCGATGGCCTTCAATACATGCGGCGGGATTGGAACGCTGTTGGTCAGTACTATGGTTTCCCAATGTGAATGGACACGGGCGGCAATGCGACGTTTACGTGCATGTTGCTCTTTACTGACCGAGTAATTGACCCGATGAATGTGCATACAGCTCGCTTGGAAACCCCCTCTGTATTTGACTTCCACCGCAATCCTTTGTTAGTACTTCAAGTTTATGTGTACTTTTGTATGTAATTTTAACTTCTGTGTACCAGTAAAAACCCCTTTGAGTTATCCGTGCCAAGATATTGGTCAAGGAAGGCGTAACTACTTTGGTAAGCTAGCGTCACAGATGAACGGCTCAAGCCCGACAAACCCCGTAGCACTATACACGTTAGCTAGAGGTGGGAAACACCTCAGCTACTGTGCCGCAATACCTAAAAGAAAAAAGGGAATAAAATCCAACAGGTGCAAGCCAGCTGAGCTACCGGTAACGGATGGGCATCGTTCCGATAAGCTACCTGCCGGCTACAACTATGCATCAGAAAAAAGTAATTTCCTATGCATAATTACAAAAAACTAAATAATGAGATCGCGGTTGGAGCGTAAGGCTAAGAGGGATAGGGTGGGACAAAGAAACTCACAGCACGAACGCCATTGAGGTCGGCTCCTAGCCATATCAACAAGTGTATCCAGCGAAACGTGTTCATCGTTTTTCGGACCCCAACCAGGGAGCCGAGACGCTCCAACTGAGGCCAGCTTCGAAGTGACGGCCTTCATTCCTCTCGACCAAGTCATCGCTTGGCCACCTCTCCACTTCTTCCGTCCACACCCCCGGCGCGCAAACAACACACGTCGCGGGAGTCGGTGGGCTGGCATGCGTAGCACGTGGCCGAGCCATCGGATTCTGGTGCGTGAAATAACGGTGCTGAGCGGTTCATTTCCTTTTCCAGTGCCGTAAACAAGTCGTCGAACGCGCTCGTTGCTCGCGCGGTGTTCCCACCAGATGTGAGCTAAATTGCGAAGGCACAGGTGGTCGGACGTAAATAGCCTATATATGTCCGCTGATCTAAGGGGCCAGGTTTCACAACCGTACAGTAAGGTCGAAAGTACCGCTGCATTGTACACTCTAACCTTCAGGGCAAGAGTGATGGCGTGGCGACACCATAAGTGGCGAAGGTTAGCAAAAGCGCCTCGAGCTTTTGCTATACGATTCGTGATCTCATCTTCAATCCCACGGGTGCTGATGCAACTTCCCAGGTAGTTAGATTTTGTACGACTTCTAGCTGATCCCCACCAAAGGTCAGCGCAGGAGGCGGTCCAAGCCAATCTTGTAGGAACGCTTTGCACTTCGATGGTGCAAAGCAAAGCCTGAAGCGGTTGACACCCATTGCTAATCTGTCCAGTGCCGCTTGGCACATCCGGGAGCTGTCACAGATTAGGGCAATATCGTCAGCGTATTCTATGTCAAGAAGTCGTTCTTCTGGGAGCAGATCCACGCCTAAGTTGTGCCCTGCGCACTCGGGCATCCTTGTCTCACACTGATGGCATTATTAAAGGGCAACGACAGCTTGCCGTAAGCCCTTACTCTGCCTGAGCTACGCGCGTATAATGATCGGATAATATTTACATATTTCTCAGGTACACCTTACCTGAGTAGACAGTCCCAAAGTGCACGTCCATCCACCGAATCCAATATACCTTTGATATCGAGGAACACGACAACGGTGGGCCGCGAATACATGTGACGGTGCTCCAGCAACTGATGCAAAGTGAAGATATGTTCAATGCAACCACGACCTCAACGAAAGCCGACTTGCTCTTCACAAATTTGGCTTTCACAGTTGCCAGTCAGTCTGCGAATGATGACAGAGGCAAGCGATTTGGAGGCGATGGAGATCAGACTGATTCCTCTATGGTTGTCGCATTCCGATCGTGGGCCTCCCTTGAAAATTGGGACTATGACGGAGCGGCTCCAGTCGGTTGGAACAATTACCTGCTCCCACAGTTTCACTAGTAAGTGGTATAAGTCATCTACAAGAGCAGGTCTCCGGAATTTGAAGATGGCTGGATGGAGATAATCTGGTCGCGCGTTTTTATTTAACTTCAACAGTGCGATCTCACGTTCGACTTCTGAGTGTGAGGGTGGATCCAAAGGGACATCCCAGGGGGCGGGACGGTCAGTGGCCGGCGAGAATGGTTGACTTGAACACACAGTTTTAGTGAAAAGCTTTTGCAACGAGTTAACTCGCTCATGGGGCAGCCATAAGATGCCTGCGCTTACAGATAGACCATGGATGGCTTGTGCTACTTAGTCGCCAGCTCCAACCACATACCCCATATCCAGTGTAAACCCGAGGTAATAAGACCTCGTGTTTTACCAAGGCGCTATCCGGTTATTCCTAGCTCTTCGTAACTGACATCGCAGTGGAAGATCAGCCGGGAGATGTCATAGTCAACTCTCAATCACGCAGGTTCGCGTCTGACCCCTAGGCGACGGGGCATTAGATGCTGGTGTCCGGATTTTATGGGGGCGGGACCCAGCAAGAATCCTGTGGAAGATGCACCTCTGCCGAGATACAGCATGTCGAAACACTGTCTGGTGACTGAGAGTCAATGAGGATGTTCTGTCTCATGTTAACCCCCACTACTCATTAATAATTATTTGATTCTCGTGAGGACCCTGTACTCCTTCCATAAATCAACGTTTGCTGTCTTCTTTAGCTGCTATATGACGAGACTGGGCTTTCTGCTTTGGCCATGCTGTACGGTAATGTAGAGCGAGTAGGTAAAAATCGGTGTTTCTCCATCGTACGTGGAGGGGGTGCGTGCGTGTAATCACCTCAATCATTCCTGCACGGTAGCAAAAATATTGCAGCTGCACTGCATCCGGACACGATACGCTCCCTATACCTGTAGTCCGCAAAGTGGGCGTTAATGAAGCTCTTAAATTTGGACAGCGAATTCGCTTCGTCTTGCGTCTTATGCAATTTGTTCCAATGTTTCGCTACTCAATGCTCGAAGCGTAGGAGGTGAGGGATACGCTTTAAATCTGTTACCACTAGTTTTTACCGGGGTCCTCATGTGCTGCTTAAAGCGTGAATTTGTAACAGCGGCCTCAAGCGAGAGAAATGGCCCAGGAGCAGTATTCGTTAAGGTATAATGAGATAAACCCGAAGCGGTCGACATGACAGGGTGTAAAGCCCTAGCCCCCTACATCGGTCCTCATACAACCTACCCCGAAAGCAGGGGATGAGCGGGATGCCTACACGCCGGACCCGTTCCAGTCTCTGCACCTCACCTATTGTGATCGGACAGTAGGCGGGTGAGCTGTATTAAAGTACTAGTCTTAAGATGGAAGAGAACAGAATGGTGGCAATCTCTTAAGACAAAGTGCAGAAGCTGCCTCTAAATGCCAAAAGCAGGTGTAGTCGCTTTGCGTGCAGTCTGTTCTTGTTGTTGACAGACTTCAGATCACAGCGAGAGCGTACGCTTAGATCTTTAACGGAACTGGTGATCAGCCAGGGTGTACGCACGCCCACTACAACCCCTTCGGATGTTCATAAACGAGAACTTGGTCGAATTGATTGGTAGGTCAATTTCTGTAAACCACCGGGATAGGCGGTCTAGATCCTGCTGAAGGACGTCACAGCCTCCGGGAGCATCAATAATCCACCAAATCTTCATATCGTCTGCAAACTATGCGCAGGGTGATCGAAGAAGCTTAGAAACTTCGTTTGTGTGGATCAGGAATAAAAAATATGCCCCACTACTGTGTCATGGGTTGTACCATTATTGTGGGGGTACCATTCCGTTAGGTGGTCATTCACTTGAACCCGACAAGTAAGGCACTGATTCGCTTGTGCAGTGCGCCAACTAGGTCACACATCCTCTGCAACTGGAGCAGGACCTCATGATTAACTTTATCGGAAGCTTTGCTGAAATCATTGTAGATAGCCTCCCCTGACTTTCCTTGGTTCGACACTTGTAACCAATTCTGCCACGTTGACAGCAAGTTTCTTATGCACGAACGGCCTTTAATGAATTCGTGCTATGTCGGCCCTAGAAGATCTTTCGACGCCAGCAGCTGGAGGAGCCACTGTTTCACAATCTTCTCCAGCACATGCACCTAAACCGAGGCCGGTAATTGTCTAATTACATGGGTCGCCTCTTTTGGAATCGGCTTCACTACCAAGCATTTCCGGTTGCTGGCAGTGCAACCTCAGACAGTGATGTGGTGATCAGTCCCGTCACGGCAGACGTGATCATGGCCGATAAGATCTTTAAAATTAGCCAGTGAAGTCCATCGGGTGCGGCTGGTTTCATGCTGTCAACACTGTCGAGTAGAATGCGGACATCTACACCACAGTCAAAGCCGTCGAGTTCAGTAGGAGCGGCATACCTCGAGCCCTTCATGGGAACACCTATACTTGTAAACACGAAGCTAAGCGCTCTGCGTATGCGGACGCACGTTCAATGCTGGAGGTCAGAGGTTGTCCCTATGTGCCCTCTAACACAGCTAACACTTCACCTGCGGGCCACAACCACCATTTCAGATAAGCAAAAATCTTCCTATGGGTCGTCTTAGCTGATATTGCAGGCTCCTCTTCGTGCTACCGACGGTTTTGCGCAACTACATAGGCTTCGTTGCGTTTGTACACCGAATAATCCTCGGCGGAGCCAAACTCGAGGAATTTATTTACAATACGTGTCGCCGTCCAGCCATTTGACCATACTCTCTGTCGAGTCAGTGTGCATTCACTGGTCCAGGTTTGCGTTACTTGTGGGGTACGAAATGAGCGCACAACGACTAAACATGCTTTTATAACACTCTTCAAGAGATGCATCTTGTGGAGTCGACTAGTTTACTTCACTGTCGCTTAGATTGAGTCCATCGAAGTCGGTCTTCCAATGATTGTATGGTGACTCAGGCGGTCGTGAGTAGGTCAGCGGCTGCTTTAGGCTGGCTTACACCATCGAGTGGTCCCTAGCTGCCAGAGTCACTAGCACTTGAACTTCTATGCACGTTGCTCGCAACCCGCTAGTGGTGTGTCCAGTTCGATGGAGCGGAATTCGGTGTAACGCTTCGGTTGGCAAATATGTCATGCTATCCAAGTTCCAAGTACCATCTCCGCAAACTATACCTCGATTCCACTTTGGCCGGGGAGAAGTTGAACCTCTGTATTCGATGGAAATTAAAATCGCCCATAATCAGGAGCAGGGCCTGCGTTATCGCACACCGGTATAAAAGTGTCCGTAGGACGCAACGCAGGCACACCAGCTGAGGTGCTAGTCAC